GGCCAACAACAGTACTACAGGGGATGGGACCTGCTGCGAGTGTCCCAAAAGTGAAGATGAGATTCGCATCGAGGAAGGGGAGGCAGCCTTCCAGCAGGAGTTTGAAAACTTCCTGCACAACAACGTGTACCACAAACGGTAAATAGGAGTGCTTTTAATCAACTTCACAGTAATGGAGATAGAAAATTGGACTTCCCTTTTCAGCTTCTGTGATAAACATGGCAGCCTTGAGTGTTTTATGAAAATTGTTTCGAAGTATGAAGACAGGCCCACATGTTGAAAAGCTTTTTTTCATTGCATTCACAGGGAAAATGAGACCAGAGCTGGTCGTCGCCGCCGTGAGCTGCTTCGCCGTGTAACAGCCAGCCCGTTCTACAGCAACCAAACCATGAACACAACCTTACCAACCACCAACAGGACCGTACCACCCACACCAATGCCCAATCCCAACCCTCAAATGGAAACCATGGTGTGGAATGAGAACATGGTGGTTTTGAACGGGTTGCGGCATTTCTCGGAGTACATCATTGAGGTGATCGCCTGCAACGCGGATGAGGCTGTGGGCTGTAGCGGCTCTGCTGTGGAACTAGCCAGAACGCAGGCTGACAGTACGTTTTGATTTATGCTCTTGATAATTTTTTTTACATGGATTTCTAAGCAAATATTAGAAATGTGCAACAGCTTGCTGAAGTTAAGACTTGAAGTAACTATCATTTGATATCTGGTAGATTGAAGCATTTCCTGTTCTATCATTCAGGTTCTGCAGACAATATTCCAGGCGACATTGAAGTTTGGGAGACAAAGGACAACCAGGTAAGCTGACTGCAGCCATCTCTGAACAACATTCCAACATGTTTAGAATGTGAATGTGAACAGTCTCTTACCACTGTTTGGATTTTTAATGCAATTCTTAGATGTGCGAAATACAGGTTGATTTTCCACCATTCCACCTTTGTTGTGTGTAGTTTGGAGTGAGGAAAGGTTAATGAGGTCAAGGGTCTCACTTAGTATATTTTTTGTACATCACATAGTCATTGGCCTTACTGCATTCATCTCTATCAATCTAGGCTGCCTTTCAGAGCAGTGAATGGACAGCATTGGAAAAAACAACTTGCCAAAGTTGTTACTGATTTATTGAAACATCCCCTTAGCAGAGGCAACTTGAAGCTTATAAAGTTGCTGTTTGTAGAGACCTAACAGACAGGGGAACACGTAGAAGGTGCCAGCGTTTAATGCCATCTGAAGTGCTGAAAAATGAAAAGGCACTGATGAGAGTTAAAAGGTCTGGAGAGTTAAAAGGTCTGGACTTCTTGGATGTGGAAAATAGCAGGAGGTTGTCTGTACTTTTGTTGGAAGAATTTAAAAGGTGCTGCTAATAAGTTCAAGACTTTTGAACAGTTGCCAAAAAAAGCCATTGTGCTGTTTGTGAAAGACTCGCTAGAGGAGCGCTTGTATTACGTGAGGAGCGGTGGATGCTTTGTCAACTGCACTTTACGCATCCTACTTTTACTTCATCGTTATACATGCACATCTCTTTTGTTGATTCCTTGTTTTGTGTGCTGTTTTCAGGCAAAGTTGCATTGGCAAGAGCCAGTCTCCCCCAACAGTATGGTGGTCCTCTACAACATCGAGTATGCCAAGCTTGGAGCTGACGGCAACTATGTAAGTGCCCAAACCTTTGAAAATTGTTATTCATTTCTGATTATCATTGTAATATATTGTAACATGTATGGAGATTGTCATAGCTTGAGATATACTGTAGATGTAGTGAGCCTTTTGGGAGCTGGCCTTTACTGTGTGTTCTGGTCTCTTTTCTCATATATCCTTTGTGTAGAAGTAAAACGTTTTCCTGACTCTGATTGGACTTGGGTAACCAAAAGTTTGTGATTGTTTGGGGGTGAAATTGGATTGAAATGTCATTTGATGTGAGATGATTTTCGATGATGGATTGTCAATTCACAGGAGCAACCAGTACAGTTATGTGTGGAGTACCACAAGTTGAATGACCAACAAGGATACACCATAAGCAAACTCGAAGCTGGAAACTACACCGTCAGGGTCCAGGCCACATCCTTTGCGGGAAATGGCTCCTGGTCCAACCCTGTCACATTCTATGTGGAAGAAAAAGGTGAGTGAAGCTTTGTTGTGTAACGTTGCATGTTCGCTTCTACCTGGGGTTTGTTGGTACGTACCAGTGCATTTTTCACTCTAAGTTGCCTATTTCCTGTTAAGAGTGTGTTTCCTTTGCAGTGTTTGCATTGATAGATGTTCATTAGTATCACTAACTGTGGGTTCTTTTCCTTTTCACGCATTTCTGCCTGTGCACCATTCAGACATTCAACCCCCAGGTACTACAACTGTTTGTCTGTTAACTTGTTGTCTGCTCTGT